GTGTATGTATGAGTGTATGTGTTTATGTGTGTGTATGTGTGTGTGTGTGTATGCGTGTGTGAGGTAGTGTGTATGTGTATGATATCTATCTGTGCGTCTGTGTGTGTGTGTGTGTGTGTGTGTGTGTGTGTGTGTGTGTGTGTGTGTACGTATGAGTGTATATGCGTATATGTGTGTATGTGAGTGTATGTGTATGTGAGTGTGAGTGTCTGTGCGTGTGAGTGTAGTATTTCCACATTGGACTCTCACTTCTTGAGAAACGTTTCCAGAAGAGAAAAAAGGCCACCCAATTGAGGACTTTTGTGTGGTTGCAAATGTTTTACGCCCCCATCGACCCAATTTAGATCATTTAGGAGATAGATAGTCGAAGCAGACTTTGTGTTGTTGTAGCTAGAGAGGTGAGCAGAGCAAGTCTGTTTCCCTGTATGGACTTCTCTGTTGACATCCACCCCTTTGCGCTCATATGACCTAATGCAGTTGCGAACGCCGTAAAAACTCTACTCAAACTTTAAAAAAAAAACAAAAGCTGGTGGACTCTTGGGTGCACTTGAGGACCTCAAAACACAAAAAGGGTGAGATTCTATGTTTGATGGTTAGGCTCTCTGCCGTTCACACAGATGATGAGAGTTCGATTCCCGAGAAGGGGGGAATCTGTATGGAGCAATAATCTATCTGTTTGTAGGGGCTATGTATCCTATCAAGCCTTGTTTGGCCGTGCCAGAGCGGGTCAAAGTAGCATACGTACTAGATGATCGTGATTATGTCAATGGATACAGGAATCATTTGCAATTAAAATTATATAAAAATAATTGCATTAACCCTATACGTACGTCGTGTTTTACTATCGTATCCATACGACGTGGGGAACCCTGTGCCACCTCTTATCCCTATCCGTACGTCGTGTTTTACTATCGTATCCATACGACGTGGGGAACTCTGTGACACCACTTTCCAAAGAGGAAATTTACTCGTTAATCCGATCCGTACTCTTTGCACAGCAGTTTGTCAAAATGATTTTTTTGAGAAATACTGAAAGTTTCAAAGAGATCTTTGTACCAGAAGTATTCTAAAATGTGAAAAATACAACCCCCGGGGTACAAAATGACACCA